TATACTATGATATTTGGTACTTTTCCATATTGTCGGCGCAACCGATAAAGTCGCCAATAATGCTACAATTGATGCCAAACGAAATATCCTCGCTGGTAACCTTTTACGCCTCATTCTCAAAACAAGTCACAGCCATTTCTTATCAGATTGATTGTTTCTTTCAATACTGGCATACAATTACATAGAATTTTTATCAGATAGTACAATTTTATGCTCCTAGGACATTTGCGGTAATTAAGTCAATTAGAATGCAATCACACCGCTCACCTGAAAATATAGAAAAGGCAAAGTCAAGGGTTAAATTCATCAATTCTAATGAGAATACACTAGCGAAGTAAAGCACTGTGGTTTTACATAATTTCTGAGTTCATACGAATTGAAATAATTCTTGCATTTAAACTTGTATTCCAAATTAAGATTTAACTTGAAATTAATGTAGATAATTACTGAGAGAATTAGATTTTTGTAGCGTAGTTTACGTGAAATGAGATCATTTGGGGGCTGATCTTTGGAATATGGTAACAGGTAGTTTGGCGACATTTTGGAGGCGATAAAGGTTACTACCTAGGACTTTGGGAATAATGTGAGAAGTACTAAGTTCCGATTACGCATTATTTTGTGTGAGGGAAATGAGAGATCATGAGATATGTCATGTGACATTAATGGACGAATCACTGTTCTTTAATCAGAAAAGGGTGTAAATTTTTAAAAATATCTGCTGTACAGCATTAGTTTCATTCTATGTTCTGTGAAACAGTGTTGTTTAATATTTGTATCCCATGGCCCTATATAAAGTAAATCCAAAATTTTTATTCCGTTTATGTGTAATTGAAAAGAATTGCAGGATAAGTATGAATTGCGGATAAGTATGAATGTCCAACATGTGGGTATGAAATGAAATAAAAGAGAGATTGTGTGAAAGGAAGGATATTACAGATAGTTTGAATGGTGTTAGATAAGTTTGAATGGCAGTGCAAGAAATCTGGTGAAAATGGACATTTTGTGATCCCGCCATGCACTCAAGATTCTGTAGAAGATTTAGGTAAGTTAGTATTTTTAATTATTTGAGGATATTATTTTTATGCTTTGTTCTAAATGTAAGGAGCAAATAAATTAATTTGGTATTATTGGAAAATTGTTATTAGCAATGATTTAGTTTAAAGTAATTAGGATTGTAAGCTAATTTTTATTAATTTAATGTATGTGCTTGTTTATATTTTAAGTAGTGTTTTTTAATTTAATTATATTTTAATTTAATGATTGTCATTTTGAGAGTTATATGTTTGTAGTATTTTGGAATATGTTTGAGTAGAAGTAAATGTGCATGGAAAAAATTTAAGTATTTGACACTAAGTATTTGGAACCATTTTTAATGTTTGCGTTAGAAATTGGTAGGTGAGGTTTATAATAGATAATTTAGAGGGAAAAGTTTTTTGATATTTTATTTATTTTATACGTGCAAATGTTCATCCTTGGAAAGGGTATATACTTTTTCGTAATCAGGTAATTTCATATATGTCCATTTTACCGAATTTAAAAATTCACAAAATTTTCATGCATTTTCGTGAAATTTTTCAAATTTATGAGAAAAAAGCAGTGTACATGGATATAGTGAAGAGTGTGTGCAATGCCATTTTTGTGCAATTCTGGGATGTTTTTTTAAGTAAAAATAAGTCGACGTGTACATGGTTTAATTATATTTTAATTAAATGATAGTTATTTTGTGAATTATATGTTTGTAGCAATTTGGTAAATGTGTCAGTGGAAGTAAACATGCATGGAAATAATTTAAATACTTGAGACTAAGTATTTGTAACCATTTTTAATGTTTTGTTATAGATTCAATGGTGACGTTTATAATAGATAATTTAGAGGTAAAAGTTTTTGGATATTTTATTTATGTTATACGTGGAAATGTTCGTCCTTGGATAGGGTATGTAATTTTTCGCAATCAGGTAATTTCATATATGTCCTTTTTACCAAGTTTAAAGATTCACAAAATTTTCGTGCAAATTTTTGTAATTTATGAGAAAATAGCAGTTTAGATTGATAAAGTCAAGAGTGTGCACAATGCCATTTTTGTGCAATTCTGGGATGTTTTTTTAAGTAAAAATAAGTCGACGTGTACATGGTTACCGTGTATGTGCGATTTTGAAAAATGCGGCAAGGAGTTTGCGATTCTGCACTTTTTCCCAATTTTGCAGTTAATATTTGTCATGATTAAGCAGTTTTGTTCCATAAAATTTCTAGCATAAGTGTAATTCGGCTAGTAGATTGTTGGAAAAAGTGTTGAGTAAATAAAAAGAAAAGAAACATGTCTTTACTTCGTGAAGATAAAATGGCGGCGGAAAAAAAAAACAAAAAAACACAGAGGGTTGCTGTAGCAGAGTTGGTCGCCAAATTTTCACCAAAAAATTCTCAAGTTACCATAATCCAAAGATCAACCCATTTGGGATCATGTGATATGAACCAGAGAATCAGCTGTTGAACCATGAAAGCATAGTAAATTCTTAAATTAATGTCTTTTTATAAATTTATTGGCTTTTTACAAAATTTTAAATGATATTAAAATGTTTATGCCTTCCAAATAAAAAATTCTTAGAACTAACATTTGTTAACATTTTTTATGCATATACTGTATGTTGTCGCCAATAAAGTCTGCTTGGCGAGATTTGCCCCAGTGAAACAGAAAAAGTGTCTGATATTTTATCATACAGCTAAGAATGAAATTACTTCTCCAACTAATTCTAGGAAACTATATTAACAAATCAGTCCAATAGAAAATGTTAATACAGTCAAAAGTCGTTAATTTGGACACCCATAATCAGGAATGATCTATAATCCGGACCTCAAAGCTACAAACTTTCTGCGCATGCGCATAGGCATTTACGCATGCACGTAAGACCTTTACGGCTGCAAATATCAGTGTGCGCAGGCGCATAATACATTTACGCATGCGCGTTTAATGTATAACGGACAGTATAAGCTAAGCTAAAATTATCTAATTCAGTTAATGTTGCAGATTGCGTGTTCTTTAATCTTCGAATTGGATCCGCCTTATTATCTTTTGCAGACTGTTACAGCAATTTTATAAAAGTAAGCTTGAACTTTCGATTATGTCAAATAGAATTTCCGATATATATTTATTAATGTGCAAAGGATCTACAAAGTGAAAGTATGCTTCGAAGTCCATTAAACAGAAAGTGGAATTGCTGCAAAAAATGGATAAAGGCATATCCTTTGATTATCTAATCATTCCGAAATATGTTTATCAATTTCACGCTGCTCTGCGGTGGGAGGGAAACGACGTGGCGCGCAATGAATTGGAAGTTGATCTGTCAGCACTATCCTTATCTTCAGGGCAGATATTTTTATTTTATTTGGCTTATAATTCCTTACTAAATGTAGTATTTCATCTCGATGTACTCCGTCTTTGATATGATTTAAATCAAGTTCCTGATCATTATAATTCCCTTTTGATAGTGAAGAAAGTGACACAGAGGTTATATAAAACAAAAAAAAAAAATTTGATTGACAAATTAGTCGGTATTCTCGACTCAGCAATTATAGGACTTGAACAGCGGAACTTTGTAACTAAACAAGAAATTATGTCTGTTTAATAGAATTAAAGAGAAAGTATTATCACATGAAAGGAAGCAACTTAAACAACTTACATTGAAAGAAATAATTAATAAAGTAAACAAATAAATATTAAGCTTTTTCTTTTTGTAAATTTTGATATCCTTTAGATCATAATTGTTTTTTATTTCATTAATTACGGTTTCATATTTTTAATTTTATAATTTCTGCTACCAGATTTAAACTGATGATCTATAATCTGGACAAATCGATAATCCGGAATCGCCGAAGTCCCGACGAGTCCGGATTAACGACTTTTGACTGTATATAATTTCAAATCGCTATAAAACTTAAATTTGCCATACTCTTTAGTTATGACCAATGTACTAATATTTTGAACTTAATGCTTTATAGCATACTTCTACAGCAGAAATAATGATCAAAGGTACATAATAAAATTATTACTTTACATTAGAACAGCCTATTTTAAAAAGTTTTGCATAACTCAATGCATTTTTAGGATTATGAGGTTTTATCTCATGTCAGCTTTAATTTATATAAAAGAGTTAATTTTGTAAAGTTATAAGACATTTTTATTTATCCCATATTAAAAATTTCAGTGATAACAACAGAAGCTTGTTAGCTGTTAATAATTGAATTAATACCTTTAGCTTGTTAATAATTGAAGAAATTTAACCACAATAAAAATTATAAGAAATATGTCAATTGAAATATATTAGCTACATGCCCCTAAAGTCTCTAATAAATTTTATCGACAAATTTTGTAGCATAATCCTTAGTATCTATTCCAAGACGAAAACTATAGTTTACTTATTACAGCATTAAAACTGAATAAAGCGACCACTTTCCCATTAGCAGCATTACCTCGGAGAGATTTCAGACAGCAAAAAAATCACAAAATGTTACAATTTAAAGAAAAATAGTTACCAGGCAAACTATTTGCCATTTTTCTGAGTTGATGCTGTTAATGGGAAAATACCATTAACAGCATTCATTTATTTTATAAATGTATGAAGTAAATCGATCACAATGAATGAAATTAAAAATGCTTTAAAAAACTCAATAGTACAAAATTCTTAAATAGCACATAAATTTAAATGTTTATAAATATTAATGTAAAAATGCCCAACCCCAAAGCAAGATCATAATAATTTCTTCATATAAACAAGCTATAGCATCTTTAATGATTCGTACTTCACCTTAATAAATATTTTTGCTTAAGGAATTATTTCATTATTTTATAAATATGCGCATGCACATTACAAAAATGCAAGATATAATATCACTACATCAGTGACTAATGAATAAAAATAATGACTATTTATATCTTTTTAAATTATATTCATTTAGATATATAACAAATGAAACAATCAGCACGTGGTAGTAAATAATAAACTTACTCCACTTTCTCTTCTATATTCTACATTAGCTCCAGTTAATGCTATCTGACGGAGATTCAAATGACATCGCACATTAAAGCTACACACCACATTACTAATTGATATGTTCACAACTGGCGTATCCTCATTAGAATCGTCTTGTACATCAATTTGTTCAATAGCATTGTCTTCATCGCATTTTAAAACAGTCGAATTGGTTACATTGACGACATTAAGAGTTTGTGGATCAGTACACATATCTAGGTAATGATTGCTATAAGCAATGTTTTTACCCCCTTCGTAGGTGGTCATTCTGTGATTTGAGAACTCAAAGAGGAATCAAGAGTTTAATTGAAAGTACTATTAAGTGAGAGTTGCGTAAGTAACAATAGATCACATCAGCATTTCACCCAAGCCCTTCTGAGAATATAAAGTTCAAAACTAACGGAATTAAATTAAACAGAATCGGATGGTCATTTTAAAATAACCCATAAGACGAAAATTATACTTTATAAAGAGGTAGATCGGTAACAGCGCACATTTGCTTCCTTCACAGCTATCAAAACTAGAAGAACATCTACAGTCGCTTCGGAACGTTGCCTCGGCTCTGGCAAGGGTTGCAAGGCGAGTTGAAGACAGGAAGCAATGAACAGCAAAGTTTCAAATGCGCAAGCGCAACGGTAATAAATTAAAAAAAAATAATAAATAAAAATAAATAAATAAATAAATAATAATAAATTATAAATTATAAAATTTCGGTGTTTTAAAGAATATAAATTCAATTCGAGAATAATAAAATGTCGACAACTTTCATCATAAGTTTTTATTTCTCAGCTTCATCTACGAACATGGGAAAAAAAGACTTCCTCTGTACTACGCTAGACCGAATTATGTCCGAGTAATATATTAAATAATACATTAAACTATCCTGCGGTTTATGTAAAATATACGATTCCCAAGATTGTTTTTCTGCTGCTCTAATTTCGAATGCTAAAAAAATGATAAGTTCCCTAAAATGCTTAACAATTTTTTAAGAAAATTTATCATTTGACATTTCTAGTTTGTTCAAAATTAAAGAGAAAAAATTCTTATTTCTTGCTTAAATTTAAAAAAAATGTAAGAGCAATCACGATCTTCTCATCGTCATAGAAATCGCCTGATTCTATTTAAGATGTAAAAAGCACAAATTTAATTCGAAATTGTCCACCTCATTTAAACTAAGGCTCCTAGGAGCCTTAATTTAAACATATTTATTTATATTGCATTTGTTCTCCAATTATGAAATAATTCAAATAATTAAAAAATTTTTAGTGTATTATACGCAGTTTTGTGTGGGGAATTTAATGTGAGGATTTAATTTCACAATAGCTGTAATTTAATGAGAAAAAGTCTGCATTTTTTGTAATGCGAAAATCGTAAATCAAGACCTCCTTTAAGATTTGCAAATATTTGTATTTATCCTAAAATTTACGATTCATACTAACCATGTTTCTTTCTCTTTAAGGAAATTAATTAATATTAAAAAGCAAATTTATTGTTTTTATATTTTTTTATTTACGATAATTTACTTCTACTGGATGTTTCCATTGTGTTTGACCTGCTTGATCGACTGGCGCAATGTACACAAAAGCAACGGTAACCAGAACGAAGCGGAAAGGTACACAGGCATTTAAATTTCTAGGAAATTCGGTGAAGGAAGAATTTCATTGAAAATGTGGTTTCATTTGAAAGTTAAGTATAAGATGGAATTCTGTAAGCATTCCAAATAAATTATGGGATATGTGTTGATTAATCTTAAGTGTCGTCGCCCTCAACTCAGCGCAGATGTGTTTTAAGAGGTAATGTTTAATCACCATTTAGAGAAATTTGTAAATTCTCTTTATTATGAGTTTTAAAGTTTTATTACAACGTATACATTTGATGTAGCATTCTAATAGTTTTCGTTTAAATACATACAGAAAGAATTGTGATAACAACTATCAAAATGTTCCGGTCGACTAACATGTGTGTTACTGGATCGTAGGTCACAAGATGTAAAAAACAAGCATGTTTTGCATTAGCTTGCTTGTCTTGAATTAAAATGTTACTTGATCTGTAGTGTTTAAAAAGTAATGGATGTAATATATTGATGTCTGCGATTTTTTTGACAGAATCGGCGTAATATAAAACTTAAAAAATTTTATTTTATTGCCAAGCTTGCTTCCAGAAATTTTAGTAAATTACGGGTAATGAACGGAACTTTAGTTTGGGAAAAATATGAAAATATAAACGAAATCAAGTTTTTATAAAAGAGTAAGTAATATTAACTATTTAAGACATCTGAATGTTAAAATTGGGAAATTTAGGGATGGTACCTTGATAAATTATTTCATTATTCTGGTTCCTTATAATATATTTTTACATTTCAGTTAAAAACATAGGAATTACATTAAGGCAATTTTAATAAAAAATAATTCTTAAACAACCTCCTTTAAAAAAATCACATCCCCGGATTTTGTTTTCAAAAGAATGTTTTATGTATTTAAAGTAAACAATATGGTGTTTGGAAATGTATTTATGAATTCAATTTAAGTGAAATGTTATTTCTGTCCATTTGACCTCTAAATTTATTTATAATATAGCATTAAAGTATATTTAGTAGAAATTAAATATCTGTATTAGAAGTTGTTTACTGATATGTTTTTGTCTTTGCTAAGCAAAATGTACATTCAAATATTGTTAGAAGATGATTTAAACAATAAATATTCAATAAAAATATAGTATGAATTTATGAGCAACCATGTAGGCTGTTCTTTTAGAGCTTCATTAAGTACAATTTATAATTTTGTATAATAAATTACTATAATTACTTTACTCTTATTTATAAAGAATAAGCTACTAAGCAAATATTTAAATTAGCAATGAAACAATGTAGTGTATAAAGTATGTTGTGTAAAGCTGTGTATAATAATTTAACATAGGTGTATGAAAAGTTAATTAAAAATTTCAAGGTTACATTTGCAATTTTAATCATAAGTAATTAAGTTACATATGTTATGTATTTGTGACAAATTGTTTTGAAAATTGATTTATTTCATGTTGAGAAGTAACTGTATTGTTTTCATTTTTTTCAATGCAAATAAATGCACTTCTTGTTTAAAGATGAAATTGTAAAATGTATATTTGAAAATTTCTTTTGTTTCCCTATATGATATTGTTGCATAAGCATAAAGGAACAGGAACTTATATAGAATTGAAAAATATTGAAAAAATAAAACAAATTCTTGTTTTGTAGCATTCTAAATAAAGAGTAAATATTAAATAAAAAATATTAAAATTAAGGTACAACTCTGATATACGCCCTAATTTCACCAAATGTGGCGATATGTGTTCTGCGCTGGTTTTTGGCGCGACTGCGTGTTGTATGGCAACCCTGTTGACGTTGAAAAATCTTTCGCTGGAGTTCATTGGTTCCCATGATGCTTTGTGTCTGAGAAGCTGGGGGGAAAGATTTAATGGTGAAAATTGTTGAATTGAAGTTTGGCATAAGGAAATATCGTCGTGGCCATCCTGTTGAGGGGCAATGGGTATTTGGAGGTGTAGAAAGAAGGTATGGGAGATTATTTTTAGTGGCTGTGCGTGATAGAAGTAGGGATTTGTGATTATTTGTTATTTTATTTATTTGTGAACCATAATATGAATTTTCTGGATAGTGTGTCTGGCTGTCATATAAATACGATAGTGATTACGTGGCGGTATGAAATTGGTATTTCTGTTGTTCGAAAAAGCATTAATGGTAAGTGCATTTTATTTTATTCTTGTTCTTATTTGGTAGAATTTTATGTTCATTGTTTTTTTAGTATGAATTTCTGTAGTTATTGTTGTTTTTTTTAATTGTTTGAAATTTATTTTAGTTATTTTGTTGATTAGTGCGTACCGTCTAAATTATGCAATTCGTAGATGTTTTTTAAAGTTGAAACAGAACGCTGTGTGCATGGTATTCTTTGAAATTTATTGTTGTTATGTTAATTTATTAAAGCGAGGTGTGCGTAGTTCGTAAATTCGTTCGTTGCCTAGATGGTGCCATTCTTAGATGTTTTTTAAGTTAAAACATATCGCTGTGTACATAGACTCTTGTCAAATAATTTTGGTTAGAAACTTCACGGTTTTGCTATCTAAATTTTTTGTTTTTGTTTTGGATTTTTAGCTTAAATTGTGTGTTCAAAACGTGGTTTTTGCATTCGGGAAAACCGTGTTTTTGGAGACATTTTAGGCTTAAAGTTCGAAATGTAGACAAAAAATTTAGATAGCAATATGGCAGTGTGGAGTTTCTCACCAAAATATCGGAGTAGTTCCAAAATTAATGAGAATTATTAACATGCAAAAATGTAGAATGATCCTAAAGACTTTCCTGTGAATTATTCCCATCATTTTAATACAGGAATCGTTATTAACCATTTGAGCCATTTTAAAAGGCCAGATGGTATATTCTCTCATTATACAAGCAACAATTTCTCATGCCCTCACTTTAATTTTTCAAATGTTATTACTTAGCAGAAATATCAGGGCATATAAGTAGCCCTTAATTTGCATGTCTTGGATGAAACTATTTCTTCATTTGGAGAGTTATATTGATTCTTTAACTCCTGGTGAAAGCTACTTATTGGGCGATCTTGATGACATTTAAAAAATATTGCCAAACTTTTGATATTTATCATAAGTTGGCAGACGTTATCAACATATCAAAAGGAAACACATATCAGTAATTTAAAATGCAAATTTTTGTTATTGAATATAGATTGTACAATACATTAAAACATTAAATACTTACCTTTTCCAGGAAGTTCTGCAATTGTTTTGCACTTTTCTCCCCTTATATTCAGCAATTTGTCTGTACTTAAAGACTCGGAGGATTGTATAGACTTGGCATATAGACACAACCTTTGCACTGCTCACACCACTCACAATCATAATTACCAAAAAAAAAAAAACAGTTGAAACTTCAACATACACTATAATGAAAATAAAAGAGTCATTCTATTTTCACCATGTCAAAATAATAATTTACAATGAAAAACAAAGAATATGTGGTCGAAAATGAAATATCCCACAATCCCATCGATTCAAGCTATCAAAAAAAAAAAAAAAAACAACAACATAGGTTTGCAGAATAATATTGTTATCCAACAATGGTGGTAAGGTTGCCAAAATAAAATCATGTAACAATGACATTGCCAAATTTGGCATACACCCTATTCTTCACTTTAGTAAACCTTCTATAGGATGATATTTTGTTACGGGAAATCATTGTTGTTTGGTGAGAAGCCACAACTCCTTTCTTTCTTAATATTTTCGCTGACATAGAATGATGGCACTGTTTCTTGCTTGAGGTAGCCTTGTGTAAACAAGAATTATTTTCGAACCTGAAATGTTGTTATTAAGTACTGCATTAAGTCATTAACTTGCTGTTAATGAAATATTTGAGTATTAATATTCTCTGACAACTTATTAAAATTTGGCATATATTTTGATACACAGCATGCCAACACCATGTTGTTTTTCGCATGCTAAATGCCAAGAAAGCAAGCCATGCCGATGCATCCAAATTTTGTTGTCTTTGGATATTAGAAATGTATCTGACAGCTTTTCAACAAATCTTGTTAAAACGTTTCTTTGACTCTGCACCTTACTTTTGAGACTGAGCTTTTTAGCAGCCAGATTTTCTTGGTGAATGGCACAATGGTAGGAATTAAATTTAGAAAATTTGTCGTCCTTCTTGCAGAGTTAATAAATCCAGTATTATTCTCAATTATAGGTGGTTCATCCTCGGCTGTGAATGCAATGAGTTTTTTTTTTTTTTTTTTGTTGATACATTCTCTTCAGTAATATATTTTTTTAATTGCGTGATATATGCTTTGCCTTCGAGCATATTTTGCCAAAGACAAAAGTCAACAGTGCTTGTGTGGCAGAGAAATCAGGAAACGCCATTCTTGTGAACATCAGAAGTTGTGATGAGTCAGTAATATCAGTGGATTCATTAAACTGAAGGGAAAATATGCACATTCCTAATCAGGTTTTATTTATATATTGATTTCGTTCACCATATCTTTTACTTATCGTGTCTCGTGTTACATAATAGAGGCTGAGATAGAGGATAATTTATCGCTGAGATTATTTAATTTTTGTTTTTAAATTAACGAAATAAAGACTCCAACATTGCCAGCGTCGTTTCCTTCACAATGGCCTCGTTTGAGTATGCCTTTTTTATGTGATGCAAGAATGTAACTTACTTTAAAGAATGCTTTTGTGTGATTCGTTGCTTCATTTTTGGTGGTAAAAAGACTTCTTTGTTGAGCTTTTAGAGAAGATTTCATTTATTGAATGCAAGTTGGTGAAAACCAATGCAACATCCCTATATGTGGTCTGATGTGTAATTGTACCTTTTTTATGATTTACTAGATCAGAGAAATTTTGTTAGTTTGAGACTAAAGTTTTTGTCTTGTCTCAAGGCAATATTGTGATTGTGCTGGTGGGTGCCTAAAGATAGAAGTGCAGGCTATCAGGTGCCTACCAGCCTCTAGTTGAATTCCACTGCTCTAAGCTATGTCTTCCTTTTTTTTTTTCTTTTAAACTATCTAGAGTAGAGTCCCACAAACTCGACATAATGTGTACTGAGAGACTGTCGAGTTTCCGAAAAGTCGAGTTATGTAGAATAAGGGGTTGCTTTTCAGAATTCTTAATATTTAACCTTTTGATGCACGCAATGTTATTTTTATAATGTTTTTATGTAATGTCTAGAAATCAAATATTATGATCCTAAAGACAAATAATATATGCATTTTAAAAAATCTACTCTTGCCCATTGATCTGAGATATTTTGCCAAAATCTGGCTGCATGTTCTTATACCTCACTATGTCATCATATATTAGCACCAGCTGTGTGTTCTCGTACCTCGCCACGTAATCATATACCAGCACCGCGTTGCATTTTTGCTCTTGCCACGTTTTCTTATATTATTAATTTTTTATGAGGGTTTTGAATTCACATTGTTTATTTAAAAATATAGTCATTCCTTTCTTTCCCCCTCTTTTTCTTTTTTTCTTTTCTTTTCTTTTTTTTTTTTTTTTTTGTAACTATGGCATTAATAATCTTTAATTTACCAAGTAATGAGGTAGATGATGTATCGTTTATTGCTTTAATGCACGATTCTCAACTTATATCTAAAACATTTTGGTTATAGTAGAGAGAAGGGTACTTCTTGTATTATCGTGAAGTTGTTTCATTTATCACCAAGAGTGCGCAATGCCTAGTTTGTGCAATTCTCTGATTTTTTCCTTAAGTGAAAATAGATTGATGTGTACATGGATACCGAGTTTGTACAATTCTTTGTCTTGTTTTTTTGGCTTTGTGTAGCGGTGATTTTTGTGCCAAAAAATCGCCATTACACAAGCCAAAATAACAAAAAATTGCACAAACTCGGTATCCATATACCACCACCTATACCATCTTAAACTTAGTTTTAAAATATAAACTTGTGAAATTTGCCAGCATTCTAAGAAACTTCAGTAAAATTTCTGCAGGAATACAGAATTTTGCTGAAAATTTTCTAAAGGGAACAATGAGGAAATACGTTTCCTAGATAGATGCTGCTGCCGAAGATTGCCTGAAGCTGAATCTCTGCAATTCTCTAATGTTTTTTTAAGTGAAAACAAATCATTGTGTGCTTTAGAAGAAAAATAGTGCAAAAAAGGTACAGAAAGATTTGAAGAAGAATGTAAGTGTTTTATTTTTTTAATGTATCATGTAATTCTTATTTAATAATTTAAATTTGTATTTTAAATTGCTAACATGTGTTTTCTTACTTAAGATATGATAACACACCAAACAAATATTAATTTAGAAGTCAAACGGCAAAAATCAGCGTTATATTTTCAGATTTTCACAGGACTAGTTTCGATGGTTTCAACGAACCATCATCCTGAGCTGAAAAAGCGCAAGTGAACGAGATAAGATAAAAAAGTCTTTCTTGATGATGGTTTGGTAAAACCATCGAAAGTAGTCCTGTGAAAATTTGAAAATATAACGCTGATTTTTGTTGTTTGACTTCTAAATTGTGTTTTCTTTTCATATGCTGATAATGTCTACCAACTTATGATAAATGCTGATAATTTGAGAATCTTCCTAATAAAAAAAAAATGTGAAAACTACTAATTTGCATCTGATAAGCTGATAAGTAACTTTTATCTTTTCATCTGTAAAAAATCACCAGATTGTGCCAAGATGGTTGCATTAATATGCATTTTTCAATGTAAAAGTCGGAGAACTACTTTTTGTAACCTGTTGATCCAGGAGGAAGGGGAGCATAGAGTTGCTTCACTGTATCAAAAACTCGAAATCAAATTGTATTTGACATTCAGCCTATTATTTATTACTAAAATCAATGAATGTAACAAGCACTGCTTACAAAATGCACTTGGATTTGTATTCAGTGTGTATTTTATATTTAACTTAGGAATCATGTAAATTCATGACAGAATTGCATAGCTTTGTAATTGTTTGTACTTCTACCATCGTTTATTATATTTAAAAAAAAAAAAAAAAAAAAAAAAAAGAATTATTCATTTATCTCTGCAAAGCTTTTAGTGCCAAAAAAGGAACATAGTATGTGTTTTATAGCTAGGTTTATAACATTTTGAACTCTCCAAACAAAGTTCCCACTCTGTCCCCCTTGTCGGGCACTTAACTGACTTAGGCTTCTTTATTGTGGAAGTTACCTTGTAGGGTATATATATTTATTTTGACTAACAAGTTAAAGTTTAATTTTAAACTTTTCTATAAGCCTCCATTCCCCTAATTGTCAATGTCAGAATATTTAAATTTGGTAGCACATGTGAAGGAATGCAAATTCTACCTTGTGAAGAAAGAGTTTAAAAACCGATGGTTTAGTAGGAAAGTTAGAAAGAGGCTATTGCTATTCACCTCTGTTGCATGAGCTTGTACTCTGTTGCATGAGTTATTGTTGGTTTACATGGCTTAACTGCATTCACTTCCTGCCACTAGCTTCGACGCAGGCTTAAGAAACAGGAATTATCTGAACCCCGTGTCTTAGTTCTACTACTTGAGCATATTTTCAAATTTTTAGTTTAGTTCGATGATTTCAGCTACCACCCAAGGGAGGCATAGTGTGTTAGTGTCAAGTTGACGCATTGTAAATTTTAAAGAGTTAATAAAGGGTATTTTTAACCCTTCTTTTGTGTAGTTTCTACCAGAACTTACTGCATGTGCGATTCTCACTTAGAAGTTAAACAAGTGAACCCTACAACCTAAGAAGTAGGCCATTATTACCACCTATGAAGGGACAGACAATTACAAACATGCCTTCTCTGGGATTCGAATCTGGGCCCTTTGTTATTGCCCTATGCAGTGACAGAGCTCGGGCTTTAACAGGAAAACATTCTGGTGTTATTTCTCAAATGAAGAAAGTCACACCTGACACTAAATTTGCTCACTGCTCCATTCATCGTAAAGCTTAAGTAGCCAAAAAAATCCCAGAAAGCCTGAAAATCGTTTTATATCAAGATGTGAAACTTGTTAATTTTATTAAAAGTCGAGTTTTAAATTCAAGAATATTTATGATTTTCCAAGAGATGGGCAGTGAACGTGAAACGCTTTTTTTGAATTCTGAAGTAAGATGGTTATCCAGAGGCAAAGTTTTAAATCATCTTTTTGAACTTCGATCAGAAATTCAAATTTTCCTCTGTGATTCAAAATTTGAATTGCAAAAATGTTTATTTAGTGAGTTATAGCTTACGCATTTAGCATATTTAGCAGATATTTTTGGAAAGTTAAATGAATAAAATTTGGAGAAAATAAATACAAGGACAAGGGGTTAATTTGTTTACCATTACAGATAAAATAAATGCAGTGATAAAAAAACCTGAGCTAATAATCAAAGAATTAGATAATAATATTTCATGTCATAAATGTCATAAATTGTAGCCCATGAATTCAGACTTCTTCTGCAGTCCAAAGAAAGTCTCAGATCCGGAATCATTAGGACTTTGGCGATTCTGGATTTCAAATTATTTTATTAATTAGCCACAATTTTTAGTACTGAGCAGCCGAATTTAGGGATTGCAAAATTTTTAGAATTTAGGAGAGACACTAGGTTGTAGAATTTACGGGTGGCAAAGTTTTTAGAACTCGGTAAGGTAATGGGCAGTAAGGTAAAGGATCTGCAAAGACTGCACCCAGGGGCAAAATGCATCGCTTTCCCCCCACAACCATTCGTGGCTGAAAGTGGTTGGTGATTCTGGCCAATAAATACAATGTTAACCAGCGTAAATAAGTCTTACCTTGCCATCAGGTGATTTTACATGTTAGAAACTCAGTTGGGAGAAAAATCACATTTCAACACACTTTTTTGTTTGTTGAATATTATATTCTTTTCTCCTAGATTTTTTGGTAAGGGAGGAAGTTTTTTTTTTATAATTATTATTTTATTAATTTTTTTCGTTGGTGGTCTGAATATTGGATTTTTCCAGATATCGGACGTCTGGATTTTAGATTGTGTGCACTAAATACTTCTAGTATATACTTCTAGTTTGAGTGAATATTTGTGATGTAAATAAAGACAGGATACTATTTATGCTGTTGCTTTATTTTTGAGTGAATATTTGTGATATAAATACAGACAGAATAATATGTAAAATGAATTTAAGTTTGTGTTAAGCATTATCTTTGGAAGTGAAATGTCACATATGTGCATAATTAGTTATATCTTGTATGGGAATTTCCTTCCTCTCTGTGGAATACAGACTTATGTTGTGTTTTTAGCGATTAAATAAAAATATTGTCCAACATTATTAGAAATAATTTGTGTTTTGAATTCCAGGTAGTGAAACACATATCTTTACGAAGTTTCTCTGATTTCTGTAGGAATATGCGATGCAAAATAATGGAAATTTTTTTACGCTAGTGATAAAGAAGTCTTTCACATCCATTTATTTTATTTTAGAATTAATGGTCCCATACTATACATGTTAGGCTATCTTTCTTGTAGAATTTCAGTGCTTGCTCTTTCAGTTTGTTTTGAAAAATATTTTTGCTGACTGGATGACTTTCATAAGCCTCCAGAGTTCTATTAAGCCTGTTGCTTTTTAATATTTTTGGAAGTTGTATTCATTTTTATAATTTGGAGGGAGGAATGTAAAATTTCTTTTCGCTGAAAATTGTTGCTGTGGCATTTAATATTTAATTCAGATTATTTATTATTGTTTTAGGTTTTTCCTGTCTGTAAAGTGTTGGGTAAAAATGTATTTACGGGTGTGCCTTGGCGAAAATTGGCGATTTTTGGCGGCACATGGATACTGAGGTTATGCAGTTCTTTGAGTTGTTATTTTGGTTTTGCGCCAAAAATCGCCACTGCACAAAGACAAAATAACAAGTCGAAGAATTGCACAAACTGGGTATCCATGTACACATCGACCTATTTTCACTTAAAAACATCAGAGAATTGCACAAACTTGGCATTGTGCACTCCCGTGATTTTATCCATGTGCACATTGACCTATTTTCACTTAAAAAAAATCAGAGATTGCACAAACTTGGCATTGTGCACTCCCTTTATCCATGTACACATCGATCTATATTCACTTAAGTCAAAGGAGCAACGAACAAAAAATATATAATCTCACTATACTACATTTTAAATCAAGCTATCAGATAACGTAAAAAAACGAAATTTATCTTAGCACTACACAAAGGAAATATTCACGGACCTTATTTAAAAATTTCTCTTTTTTCAGTCAAACAAAATTCCTTAACAGCATCTACAAACTTTAAAATTATATGAACTAGAATCTGTATACTGGCGATGCCACATAAATTCACAAAAATATCCTCTGTAGTGCCAGTAACCTCCGACGTTCGACCATGTGCATTCATTTCCTTCTTACACACAGGATACTTATAATGGCTTTTAAGTAAACCTTCATTTACACACCACTTAATTAACGCTCTTTTCCCCTTTTGTTCCAAATCGTACAGAAACTTCAAATTAATCTTACCACATTCAGCCATTCTGCCGTCTAAACCACAAAGCAAACAATGTACTTCCTAACTAACACACACCACAAGCCCTTACAGATCTTTTCCCATAATTCAAAATTTACCACAATTGTTCAACCGATTAACAACAACTTCACGATAATATAAGGGGCACCCTTCAATCTACTCTAACCAAGTGTTGAATTACAGATAGTTTGTTGTTGTCTTTAATCCTCCTGATCTTAGGTCAGGTCTACGAACTTTTATCTTGGTCAAGAAAGAGAGGATAGTGGCAGTCATCAGCTAACCCATGGGGCACCTTGTAGGTTGTAAAAAAACTTTATCCAACTTTCTCTCAGTTTAGAAGAAGTATATTCTGATGAATGATGAGAGATGGAATCCAAGGGTCTTCTACCCCTCTTTCCCTACCACAACCCTCTCAAGAACAATTTGGCTTGATGGTATTTTAAATACCCCCTGCTACATAGATACTAAATATTTGCAAACATCCATACCTTCTCCAGGATTTGAACCCATGCCCAATTGTGTAACAGTCGGAACTACTAATCACCGTGTCCTTTAAGGGCAGCACCATAGGCAATAACAGCAATAGTAAAATTACACTTGCTTTTTTCATAACTCCCTAGAGCCTTGATATCAGTTCTCGGTTTTCAAGAAATAAAAATAAAAATTTCCTTAAGCTTATGATAACACTTTTGAATTCAGAAATACTGCTAGTAAATTTTAACAAAATATTGATAATCGTATCTCTGTGCATCTAAAGAATTTAAAATTTGCATTCTGATTACTTAATATCAAATTTAAATACATATGTAGCAATGTAACATTTTAAAGCCAGTCTGTGAATAATTTTTTGTGATACCAGGATTCAAATTATTCAAATATTTCTCCAGTTCTTTAAAAAAAATTAATATTGAAAAATTGATACTTTTTTGTTATTGAAACTGGATGCAGAAATGTATGAATGTGGGTTTAAATGTATGTGCATATATATATGTGTATATGTATGCACACAGATGCTTTCATACTCACATATATATATGCATACACACATTTCTCAAACTGGTACCGATAACAGAACAGTACCGAAAATCATTAGTTTTAAAGATAATCTGTTTTGCTTGCTTTATATTTATGTTTGGATAATTTTTTTAAAGCTTGTGTATTAGTATAGGCTATATATAACTTACTTCTGAAATTTTTTATATTAGGTTGCATTGTTTAAATTGATGTGCTGTTAGCTTTTGTATTCTTTTGAATACAAAAATGGCTACTTCCGTTCAAGCTTGCCTTCCTAATAGCTGCAAAAATCAACATCAAGTGAAGCCTGTTGCCAAAAGTCCAAATATTCTCCGACGTTCTAGCACTAAGCAAAATGCTGGTATGTATACATTTTGTGCTTGTGTTAATAACTACTCATGCAAGATGAGGGGGGGAGGGAGTAGATATCTTCTACAAAGTTTAAAGGCAATTTTTTTGCAATTAACTTTTGACCTTTTTACTTCCTTGTACGAAGTAAAAAGGAAGTATCGTAATTGCAAAAAGTTTCAGGCAGCATATTTAAATGAAAATATCCATTTTGACCAATCGCGAATGCAATTAACGATGTTTTTATGTGACATCTGTATGTAAAGACAGAATAAAAGACTCTTTTTCTCCCAAAAAATTATAAAACTGCTTTCAACTGAATTCTGAAAAGAATTTTTCGGGGTGTCTGTACGTATGTAAGTACGTGTGTATCTCGCATAACTCAAAAATGAGTAGCCTCAGAATGTTGAAATTTTGTATATAGGGCTGCTGTAACATGCAGATGTGCACCTCCCATTTTGGTTGCAATCTGCCGCACCAAAAGTATATAAATATATGTATATATATATACTAAAATACTAAGTCATCTGTGAAAATTTTTCCTTTTTGTTTTGTTTGCTTAATTTCTTTTATACATTGTTCTAGATTTATTATAGTATTTGAATAGAACATATGGCAACAATTAGATAATTCTTCAAATGATATAAATTTTGTGCATTCTGAGTTATAATATGAACGAAATATAACGCTGTAGAGTGTCGCTATGGTAAACAAATATAGTGAATTTTAAAGAGTGGATTTATTTTATTGTGGTTTATGCACTATCGACAAAGTAGATTTAATTCAATTAAGTATAAATGAAATGCAAGAAAAAACGCGTATAATTTAATATTCCGTACACGGAAGTCATGTGATGTACACATCAGATTTTTTTTTATTTATAAAAGGTTTGAAATGTTTAATCAGTCACCAAATTTTTAATTAAATGATGTATATATCTGAATTTTTTTTTTTTTTTTTGTTTTTGTTTTTGGCCAAAGCGCATTCAATGAACGAATGACTGAATCTTTTTCAGAACTAAATTATGGGGTATTTAGTTGCTGAAACTGCGTCTAAAATAAATCCAGTGCTAAGTAACATTGTTTTAAATGTTGCTTTTCTTTTAAATATAATTATTTGTTCAATATAAAAGAAAAACGTGTTAATAATCAAATTATTCATAATTGTATATGAATCAGGATAGACTCACCTTATTAGCATTTTTAGAGTTTTAATCAGCTTTTGAAATCTGTTTTTTATATGAAATGACTGTATTTTAAAATTACATTGATATTTGTTGAAAAAAGTATTGTTTTGAGGGAAACTGACAAATGCTCCTTTTCTTTAGAAAGCAAAAGTTTTCTGTGTAGTTTTTTATGTTTGATGCTGATATATGCTAAGAATAATTATGAAGTGGTAAGCAACAATTTTAACAAAGAAGCCTCTTTTAAGCCAATAATGAAACCACTAATAACCAGAACAGGCATTTCCCGCCTTTAAATTTGCTTTTAAGGCTCTTAAAATGCAGTTCTTAAAAGTCTTAAATAGCAGTTGCAGATAGGTGTAAAAAGACGAAAGTCATTATGTAAAACATACAAAGCCATTATTTAGGTCTAAAATTTTTATGCGTATAAAGTTGAGGCACTTTTTAATTGATTACAGCATAATGATTGTTTTGCTACTTAAAAATTTTTACTTTACAAGAATCATTTATTTATTTTTTATAAATCCTTTCTCATTTATAGTTTGTCATTTATTTCTTATTTTTGTACTTTCTGATAATCCACACTTCTGCTGAAAAGTCAAATTTGTTGCCAACTTTGCAGTACATTCTAAAACTCATTGGCAATTTTTAAAAGCATTCTTGAACTCGGCAGAAGGTAATTTTTTGCCAAGTCAATGCGTAAACAGCAGTAGTACTTTTCAAAATAACAGTGTACTATATTCAATCAATAAAATTAGAAAAGCAAAAAGTATTGGTATTAAAACACTTATCTTATTCAAGAATTTTTTTTTTTTTTTTTTTTTTTATTTATTTTTATTCCCCTGCATACGTGTGTGTTTTTCTTTTTTTCATCTACCCAGAGATCACAACTGTCATAAAAAAAAAAAAAAAAAAAAAAAAAAAAAAGAAAGAGAGAGAGAGAGAGAATTGCTGAAACTCATCATCTGTACAGTTCAGTACTACTTCGCACTGTCCAAAACAGACATGTGCTACATGCATACTTGGGTTTCTACATAAATATTTTTGCCGATATCATAGGTTGGTACAAAACTATTTTAGTGATATTCTGCTTTGCCTCATTAACATTTTCCTGACATTTTAGCAGGGTGTATGGCTAATCAGAAAGTAGTCATAATTTTTTATTATCTTCTTTCATAAAATTACTTTAAGACACTTTACAATTGGAATTATATATCAGAAATACATTAAGAATATGAATTCTATCCACCTTTTCAAGCAACCTGCATGAACTATCCTCCAGAACCCATAAAATATATATCGCACTAATTTTTCTCTTCATAGAAAAGTTTTTCTGTATCATCAGACTTGTTTCATGTAGTTAATCAATAAAGGGGGAAAGGAAATTATATATATATATATATATAATATAGTTTTAATGGAGCAATAGATCGATTTGTTGTACCGAAATAATCTACAGTTTTATATCACAAATAAAAAAGCATAGGCACCCTTTAAATTTATGAAGATGATTACATTTTTGACAGGCAATTCATGATAGATTCGTATTTAGTACCTGGCACCCTCTGAGCATTACCTTCTTTCGGTCATCAAAGTTTGCTCTTGCATTATAGCTATAATTAGATGTACTAGTAAATGCAACCAGGCCAAAATTCGCATAAATCGCCAAATTTGGCAACCCTACGTGTTTAGACGAAAGTTTATTTGTAAAAAGAAAAAATAACACTGGGCGTGTACTACCACAGCAATGGGTTTTCGGCGGAATTTGCCGAGAAAAGAAAGAGACTTTTTTGGTTACTGTACCTAACAGAAGCGCCGTTACCCTCATGGAAAAAATTTGCGAAAATATCAAGGAAGGAAGAAGCATCATTTATTCGGATTGCTGGAAAGGATACAATACAAGTGAGTTCGAAAATGCTGGATTTCTGCATGGAACTGTTAATCACAAATATAACTTTGTGGATCCCAACACGGGCGTTCACACACAACATGTAGAGCGCATGTGGGGCTCAGCCAAATGGCGCAACAAAAAACAGAGAGGAACAGCCCGTCATCATCTTGACTCATACCTTATCGAATTTATATGGCGCCAAGCTCAAGCTGTTAATGGCGAAGACGGTTTTCAATCAGTGCTAAAAGCAATAGCCAAAAGATTTCCGCCGAAAAAAATAATTCTGCAACTTATTCAAATTCGAAACCGGAAGGGTTTAATTGCTATTTTATATTTTAAAACAAAATAATATAAAAAACTGTATTAAAAATTATCTGTAATTAATAAATGTACATTTTCTTTCTATTCATACTTTTTTACTCAAACTTACAAATCGCGCCAACCTGGTTGCGATAATACGTAAGTACCTTTAAGATATTTGCTTTCTTACTTTCTTAATATGTGAATATATCTTCATGAATGGCATTTGAAAATACGAAATAAGTATTTGCAACTCAATTAATAATCGTTTAGTACGGTCTTCAGACAGATCTAAAATGCATCGAGGCCAAAGAGATCTAAGTTTTCCGATTAATGAATAATAATATAATAATAAAAGCCTGGGTTTTTAGTAAAATTTTGTCTTGAGCCTGGGTACCTAAATAATAACGTGAGAATCATTTAATCTATTGTTCCAATTAAACTATATGGTAAATTATTTTTTTTTTCATTCATTAATTATTTTATAAGTTTTAAATAAAAGCTAATTTTTTTAGAAACTTTTTCTTTTTTAAATCTTCTTTCAACAATGAACTCACTCTTTTACTTCGAATAGTTTTGTTACAGTTTTCAAGTCCCATAAAAGAATATACTATTATGTACCATAATAAAATTTAGAAAATAAACTTTTAACATGAAATGCTGGGAAAAAATGATTAATTATTTGAATTTATGAAATGGAAAAATTATAAATGACACTTCAGATTTCATTGCAAATAATTTTAAACACTAACAATCCTTAAATTAAAAAAAAAATATAAATTGAATTTTGAAAAACAAATGACTACACCATATTGTATTGTCATCTACAATGAATATGAGCGCAAAATTTTAGCTGGATAGCTTATCAGGAAATAGTTTGAAAAATTAGTTATAAAGTTTTGCTTGTACTGTAGCAACAAACACCATTTAAAAAAAGTTTAGTTTAAAAAAATTCTAAAAGGATTATTATTCATTCTTGTTTTAAAAGAAGATGAAGAGTTTAATTTATAATGCTTGAAATTTTGAAGTCTTTATAACTGATACATTTTTTGGTGTTAAAGAATTTTGAAATCCCATAAAACAATACAATATAACATATCAAAATAATTTTTAAAAAATCCACTTTTAAACTAAAATGCTGTGAACATGTATGTATTAAATTATGAAATGGAAAAAGAAAAATGACAGGTTAGGAACACTAAACAATCCCTAAACTGTGTCATTTTTGAAATAATATATGCAAAGACTCATGTGATATAATAACATAAATGTAGAAAATTGCCTGATTAATATTTTTTAAAATAATTTTTGTTTTTGAAGAGTGTTTATTGTATAATCTAAATAAAGTTTGTTCTATGAAGAATGTTTGTTGAAAATTTCAAATCAGTATACCTGATACGTTTTTAGATGTTAAAATTTTAAAATCATGGATATAAAATAATTAAAAAAAGTATTTTAAAAATTTACTAAAAATTAAGAAAATAAAAAAGTTTAATTTAAAGGATCCCCCCCCCTTGCTCCATTCAGTGGTAGTAGTAAAATTCTGATACTTTTAGTTTATTCTTTAAATGAAGATATATGCAAAAAATCATTTAAGCATTAAATAAGAAAAGTCTAAAACAAATTTAAAAAAATTGCC